ATTGCCTTGCAAATGGTGGTTTCCCTTTTTATTTTGCTGGAAAAAGCCATGTTTCAAATGGCCAAAATGTATCTTTTCAGGAGCCCTGCTGAATAGGACCGTTGTTTGGATGCACAAGTCCTTGGGCCCCAGCAGCGGCTTGCCCCCAAGGTTTTAGCCCTGGGCACCCAATGCGGAGCTGCTTGACTTCTGGAGCACCAGCCTGTGGATGGTTTGGTTCCAAGATGTTCCATCCAAGCAACGCAAGTCCATATGTGAACCTCCGATACGCAGGCTCCCAGTCACGCCGCAAGAAAGGTACCGCGTGGAATGTCCTAAAGACTCAGATGTCTTACGCTTCCGCGAGAAAAATATAATAAAAAATGGCATGCCAATTGTAACTGTCCCTGGCAAGCAATGGGCAGATGCAGAATAACCATTCATCAAGTGGAACCTAATCCGAAGGACAACGGCAACGACACCGGATCGAAGCAGAACCGAATGAGTTGCTCCCCCGTGCTGAATCCTGGGCTTGTTTTTTTTAGTCAAGAAGTCCAACCAATTTCCATGCGACCCACGAACAAAACAAGAAGACGCCAACAAAATATAAAAATAATTTGTACGGTGGGTTTTGTGGGGAATATGAGTTGTCTGTCCATATCTCACCAACAGCATCTAACATCATGCAGCCCTTGTTGTATCTGGGATGTTCCCACGAACCTCCAAGTTTGCTCACTTTCGTTCGGTCATGGATCGAGCTTCCCCAAAGGTTTGAAAGCTGGGGAAGTGGATCGGTTGAGGCCTGAAAGAGGGTCTGAGAGAGGCGCCAGTGAAAGGGTCAGAGGAAGATTTGAACAGCAGACATGGCTCACTCAAAACAAGAAAGCACATGGAGGTTATTGAAGCCATGCCCAAAACATGTTGCTTTGCCCAATTTTTGGCTCAGCCTGGTATCCCAGATTGGGTCCAACTTCTGTACCAACGAAGTTGGTTAAACCAAAACTGTCCAATTCGGTCAAATTGCCACATGATCTGTAGGTACTAAGCGGGGGGACCTCTATTTTTGTTGGACTTCTGCTTGTTCAGCTGCCACAGTGCTTCTTGTACATCACCGGGATAGCCGCCGTTTACTGAAGCTAAGTCTGACTGGTAATCCATGACGTCTTGAGGAGCCCCAAGGCGCTGAAAGGCTGAAAGGGAAAGGACACCTCTGAGGCTGCGGACCCCAAAATGGCCATCGGTGTCCTGTTCCCATTCAGGTCCTCCTGTAGAGAGGTTTTTCTCTTGTAGTAGGGGAACCCTCCCCCCAAAAAAGGGTAAAAGGGCACCTAGCTGGGAGACCTAGCCTTCAAATCCCAGGCGTCTTTGCTATCGACCAGCGATGGCCCGAGGTCGGCAATCCAAAGATCGTCCCAGTCCGAAGCGCGATCGACCGGCCTCGTGAGGTTTACCTGGAAGGGCCCCAGCCGTACATCGCTATAGGTGTGGATCCAGAGCTGGACCTGTCGTGGTCGTCCTCCCATAACCCTTGGGCTGAAGGGAATCCAGGGGCAACAGAAAGGATTTATTGGTTTCACGGAAACCCCCTTGTTGCATCTAGGTATCGCCCTACGCCAATCATGGCGGTTACACGCTGCAGCTTTCTAGCCACTGGTTGAATGAAGCGGATCTTGAAATATGTTGAATGAACGAGGGAAATAGAGGGACCTGGATCGCGTGTGAAGAGCACCGTTCACTCTAGAGTGCCCTTCTTTTGGCGCCCGCCTCGCACATGGTCATGGGTTTCACATGTGCCCTAAGATACTGTCCAATCCCGAACGCCAAACAGGACCATGGGTTCTATGGGTGCTATAGCCATGCCCCCATGTACCATGTAAAGATTTGTACCAACCGCTGTTCCCAAACCAGTTCGACCGTCAGGGGAAAGATTGAAAGGGCACCTCTGTCTGGGCGCCCGAGGGTGACCCGACTAAATGAGTCCAGTTGCAAGCAGGAAACCAGGGAGTAGCACAGACGTAAAGCCGAGAAAGATGCAAATAGCCACCTGAAGGGTTGAACACACCTTCCTGAAAGTTGCTGTCCTCAAAAAAGGGAGGGGCCGAAAGGGCAAGCTGCTGGTTCAACAAAGGCCGCGGTTTGAAAAAGTTCAAAAAAATGCTTTGGCACGAGCGACGACAAACACAACTCGGTCGCCTCCCCCCCTGCTAACAGTTTAACTGTTTGTGGTTCATGGAAAACCCATTAGTTGGCAAAAAGTTAAAGTCCTAACATCCAAGCAAAGTGCACCAAACACAACATCGGCGAATGAAAGTTAAGAATGCTTGCCTAATGAGTCGCGGCGGGGCCCCCCTCCGCCCGGCCGTCAGACCGGCGAGCACGTCTGCCACGGACACCGTGAAGGTGAGCCTCGGCAACGGATCGGGTCGCAGGCACTCCGCAGATACGGCGCTTCCTTGACTCAGATGCCCAGTGGATTTCCATGGGAAAAAAAGGCATCGTTTTTTGGTTGGTTGACTCTAAAGGGGAACCCTTCCCAAAAGAAAAGAAAAACCACTGGGCAACTGGGTTGAGCTTTGCGTGAGGTGCACAGTCTTTGTTACTGAGTTGCTTCAACATACAAGCCCAAATGCCCATCCATTTCTACTAGAATCTCCACTTGAGGGGCCCTCCATTTTGGGTTTCTTCCGTCAAATTTGCAGAAAAGCACCTGCGGACTTGCTCAACGGAGGTCTCTCAAAGCCATGGGCGACCACAATCCATCGTGGCCGCTGGGGGAAAATACCCCGTACCCATTCCTCGAGGACTGTCGATCAACTTTATGAAGGGAGTGTCTACCCGCTTTTGGAAGTGCGGTCTATGGACAAAAGCGAGCCTTCTGGGTCACCTACCATAAAAGAGTATGTACAAGCACGCCTAGACACGAGCAGATTTGGTTCAAAACTGAATGACATGTGTTGTAATCATCCACTCTAGATATTCATCATTAATTCAAATTGATCTGCTGGAGAGGGGTTGACCGCAGCGGAAAAAGCATGTTGGGTGCTGGAACGGTTGCTTCCCTTAGTGTTGCGAGTGAGGAACAAGAAAATTCCTGAAGTTTTCCGAGGTGGCTTGGTTTCTTGCAGGTTGTAATATTACGGAAAGTACCCTTAAAACCCAATGTTCCTACCAGGCCCAGACCCGGTGCTTCCACGGAAGATCATGGAAGCTTCCGGGGGGGGGGGGGGTTCGCCAACGTGCAAAACCTAGATGAAGGCGAGGACAGGTCCAGCAGAATCACTGATGGGCTGATCCCAACGACCTGGTGACAAATCCTGTCAAATGGGATGGCCTCTTTGCAAAGTTCCGTCTTTCGTCTATAGCCAGTATGACGTAAACCCTAGTGGTTCTTCAGGCTAAACGTATGCGCCATACATGAACCCCTGGTATGAACCCCTAGTTCTGGGCTGATTATGAGTTATGGGAAATCGGCCAAAGGCCTCCAACATGGTGATGGGTTCATCAATCAGCCTTTAATGTTTGAGAAATCCAGCGCGGAGCCCCGACCTGCCTTCCCCTCGAAGTCCCGCAAGCGCCCGCGCATATTTTTTGAGCCCCGACATGTGCGCGGTGCGGTTGGCGTCTTTTCGTCGACTTCGGAGTCCGAAGGACCATGGTATGGCCAAGGAGCTGACGCTAAAGAATTACCAAACATGTTTATATGGTCATGTCTTGGCTTGGTTTCGAAGTAATCTACACATGGCAATCAGCCGGTGGTCCCCTGCTTGGTGGCGGTAGCTTTAACCAAGTGGGAGTCGGATGCCAATTCAAGTTAGGGCTTCGAGAGAAATTATGGTCCCCCGCAACAAACCAAAGTAATTACTGTCCTTGGAGTGGGCCCCAATTCCGCCTCCTGCAACGGGCCAGGGGTCCGCGATCCTCCATCTACCTAGTCCCAACACATTGGCAACCAACACACCCTGTTGCATCCTTCCCAAGGCAACGTGTCTCTCGGACATCGCGAGAAGACTAGAGAATTGATTCCTCAAACAGGAAAAACCAAAGGACACCTAACCGTGTTTCTAGCCTCGAAATTTCTACCTCAGCATTTGCCCCCACAAATAGCATGTTTGATTCTGGGTCCAATGTAAGCATAACATGTAAATTGATTCCAAGAGCTACTCCAGGTTTGGTCACTTTTGCCCGGCGAGCACGGACGGGGCCATGAATTCCACCCGCCGGTCCCTTCACCGGCGGCGCTCAGAAGTTGTTGTAGCGGAAGCTCCTGGCCCCGCACACGCCGCACCTGCGAACTCGGCCTAATAAAATGCAAGACGGGGGTTGTGGCGCACTCCAAAACCACAAATTCAGTCCTTGTGGGGGCTGGGGGGGAGGGAGGGGAGGGGGAGGGAGCCCAAATAAGCCCTAAACAAGCCCTAATAAGTTAAGGCCTTAATAAGGGTTTTTGTTGGGCTCCCTCCCCCTCCCCCTCCCCCTCTCCTCCCTCCCCTCCAGCCCCGATAAAGTCATGATTCTGGGAGTCTCGGAAAAATATTCAGCCGCTTGTGGTATCCACACCGCCTGGGGGGGGGGGAGAGATTGTGTGTGGAGGGCCCCCAGTTCCAGTTTGCGAGTTGCCCCAAAGGGGACAATGCAACCATGAAGGCTCCAACAGATCAAGGCAAGCATCCGTTTGAACCAGCCAAACAGGTGGAACTGAGTTGTTGACTACTATGAACATAGCAGGCCGCTGGAAATCATCAGCGAAATCCATGTGTACATATATTTTGCACAAACGTACACACGTGAGCTGAGCATATTGTTGCCATGAGAAGGTGTTCCGCTGGCTTCCTTCCAATCTAAGGCCAGCTGCTTCTGGCACCTTTGCGGCGACTCCAGGTAATCCAAGAGAACAAAACAACATATGGCAGCCGTGGATAGTCGGCTCACCTTGGGCAAATAACAGGAGGTAGTCCCCATACTTCTCCCCTACCTGACGCAGGTTTGCGCACACAACTTGCCCATTGGAGCTCACCTGTTGGTCGTATTGATTGAAACCGATTCCCGTGTTAGTAGAAAAGCTGCCACGTCTCATAAGAGTTGGGGAAACAAAGTAGCTGGCCAAATCACAGGGTGCTCAACTGGTTCTCTACTTGCTGCACATTTAGGGAGCCATACACCTTGGGTTGCCTGCACATCCCTTCTGGCTGATAGATACAGCCCCCCCCAGAAAAACCGAGGGAAGTCGAAAGGCGATTCATTGGGTTCCCGGGGCTCTTCTGACCAAGAACGGTACAAACAAGCAAAAGCATGCCTGAAAATCTGAAACTCTTCGGAATGTGAAAGAAAAACACAGTTGCCAGCACCCCCCCCCCCACCCCCGGCGCCCATATGGATGATATCTAAAACCAATAAATAAATATAACTTACTTAACTATGCTAGCTTCACATGTGCTAACTTTACATGCGGGGTGTTCATAACAAGTACCAGATGTTAGCCTTGTCGACTCCGTCCGAAGTGTTTCAAAAGGAATCAACACCAAAATATCAAACTGGGCAAATCATTGTAATTCTCACGAATCTAAGAAACGGATCTCTATGAAACCTTCATCATGGGCCTTGCAAACCCAACCCCCGAAACATGACGTCGTGAAATCATGCGCCTTGCAAGAAATGGCGAAACCCTCTACTTTAAGGGGTCCCCGAAAATGGATTGGCGCTTGGTTTCTTTTCGGATGGTGAGAAAATCGGGTTAATAGGTTGGTTTTGAGTTGGTTTGCTCGAGTCGGTTTGGCGGTACTTTTGAAAATGTTGGTGGAGATTTGTCCTAGCTTTGTGCGGGTATGCGGAAATCCAACTTTTTGTAGGCTTTCCTGGTTCGCTGGTTTCTGCTGTGGATGAACGAGATCCTGCACCATCTGAGAAGCTCTGGCATGATGATTTGCCTGTAAACACCAACAAACGTTTTGGTTTCAACCATGGTTTCATTTCGTGGTGCGAACGGATTTCCACAAGGGGAGGAGAGGTCCGGGACCCGATCCCATTTATCTAGTCAATGGGAAAACTTGCTGCTCAGCTGGGAATGAGAATTGGAATGGCCCCGGAAAAGAAAAAACAAAACTGGGTTCAAGAGGACCAAAGCCTGGGTTTATTCCCACATTCACCGCACCAGCGAGAAAATGGAGGCCCAATGGAATTCCAGACGTGTCCACCTTCCCAGAAGTCCAGTTTTAAGGCTGGGATAACAAGTGGTTCAAGGACCGAACATTTCAGAGACGCTGAAAGGTTGGTTAGGCAACTCCAACAACCCCCCCCTGTTCGCCCGAATTTTAACCTTTCCCAAACAGACCCATGGAACTGTCCAGAAATCATAGGTACCGTGGATGGACGAAATCCTGCACCGGCTAAGAAACCCTGGAATGATTCGATTCCTCTGTAAATACCAACAAAGCCCACAGTGTCCGACAGCTTCAAAGTGGTGCAGAGCTTTGATCCACAGTATTCCGTGACTTCCCTATTGCAAACGCCCAGCACTGGGCCTCCACAAAGCTCCCCCCCGTGGTTGAGGCGAGGCGCAGATCTGGCGCTGGCTGGCCCATGGTGCCCTCCACCTGCCGGCTGCAGGTGCTGCAACGGTCCAGGAACCGCTGCTCCTTGCCCGGAGGAAAAAAAGCCAAAAACGTGCCCTCCAAAAATGGTGGCCTTCCTTTTATGACTTCCCCCACCTACAACCCCCCCCACAAAAAGATAGAACCTCAAAATTGTGATTTTCCTCTTGGTTTCCCCTACTAGGGGAAACAATGAATCATAGTTTGACCCTTCTATTGACAACCAAAACGGCAGCCCAGTGGATCCCAGTTGCATAGCAGACAAGCCAGTGGTGGCTGCTATACAAGTAAATGAGCCCACTGGGCTCGCCCACGAAAGGCGATGCTTACACTATCCCACATGCAGTCTCCCTCTCTGGGTTGTTTTTGACATCATCCGAGTCACCCTTCATCCGCTGGCCAGTTCTTTCCAGCGGGTGAGAGAGGGAACGGTGACGGAGAAGAACCCATTCACTGTCAGGCCACTTTCCTCTTTCCTCCGCTCGGTCATAGAGCTGGAACTGTCCCTTACGAACCGTCCTTCGGATTTTGATGGATCACCAGAAGCTGGGAAGCAGCCATCCGTAGGCTCGAGCCCCTGTTTGCAAAAATTCACATAGAACCCAAAAATGAGGGAGGGGGGGTCTCTTTTAAGGGTTCCCTTGGGGTTGGCTTGAAGGGAAACCAAAAGGAAACCATGTCTGGGGTCCCCGTAGTTTAAGACACCCCCATGTCAATCTGCAGGGCAGGTCTTTGGTGATTTGGACTCATAAGTTGCTTCCCGGTGACCCATGTGTCCCATGCTTGATTTTTGTGTACTCCCCTGGCGGAACCCACAAGGGATTCCCCAAAAGAAGGTTCGTTGAATGTCGGTTTTGAAGCACCATGTCAATCTGCAAGGGAGTAATTGGTTTGGGACGGCTGCGGGTTCTTTGTTGAATCCCCATGTGTTGAGTTCACAGCCAATGTGGCTTTCAAGCACAAAAAACAAAGGTTGTGTTTGGGACTCAGAAGCTTCCATTCGAAAAAAAATGTGACTTGAAACGATGCTAAACTCATGATTACCCCTTGGTGGTTTGGACATAAAGTCTGGCGTTACATGGGAATCGCCACGATGTGTATGGGCAGGCCGGGAAGCTCAGGGGGCCCTCGTTTTCATTCTGGAGGGCGGTTGCTAAAGAGCTGGCCTCAATTTCAAGCACCAGGATCTGCAAGCTCCCTCCATTCGAAGTCGGTTCCCCTTTGATCACAGCGGAACCGGTTCCCCTTTGTTGAAGCTAACTCATTCCTTAACCCAACTCTTACATCAAACATAGTGTCAGATTCCGGTTCATATGGGTCTGTCTTTTTTGAGGGTACCCATATGCGCACGACAAATCCAAAGAAGAAACATAATTGTAATGGTGCCCCTGAAAAAGGACACACCCGTCATGTTGAGCCCAGACTAACAAACCCATGTGTATTCTAATATGGGGGTGTTCCTGGTTTTAGTGGGGATTCAGACCCCCCCCACCCACTTTGGGAGGGGAAAACCCCCATTATTTCCTAAACAGGGGTTTATGGATAAGCATAATCCCAAGAACATATCAGGCAAAGAACCTCTCTTGGACGCAAAAGCCCCCCCATATTTCACGAAACCGGGGGTTTATTCCTCTGGGGTCCACCGTAAGATTGACCCGGGATTAATAAACCCGTCCCATTATTAGAGAGCTGCTCCCTCTCAAATTGTGGTCTGAATCCCCACTAGAACTAGGGACACCCCCCCAATCAAAATCAACCAGGGGTTGGTTTAATCAGGGGTTCACATTAGACTCCCACACTTTCGGGGAGACCAACCCAGATTAACCCCTAATTAATAAACCCCTGATTAACCCCTCTATTCATCTGGGTTGGTTCACAAATTTGTTTCGAGTTTCGACCAACCCAGACTCCACGCCCGGGGCTCGCGCCCGGGGCTCGAGGGAGGCCAGCAAGTTGCCAAAGGTCCGCAGCACCCCGGAGGTGTGCTGCATCCTTTGCACCCCAAAAAGAACCTTTCGACAACGAAGCGTCGAAACCAAAGGAAGAAAAAAAACGGGTGGTCCGTCACTAGTACCTAGTAGGTCCTCCAGATTTGAGAGGTTAGGGTGCCAACTGGTTTTTTCTCTCTTTTTTTTCCTGTAGTCTATTTTAGTAGGGGAACCCTCCCCCAAAAAGGGGAAAAGGGCACCACCGGGGGGCTTAGCTGCGTGTTTCTGTTTTCCTTTCGCGGTTAAGCCCTCGTCTTGTCTTTGAGTAGCATGGTCGTGAGACCTACTGTGGATGCAGTGGATGGCTGCGAAATCCTCTTAGGCACCACGGATGTTTGTTGCCATGGTTAAAACCAACAGGGTTTCTTAGGTGCAGGATTTCGTCCATCCCACGGGATGGTTGTGAAGGTTTATGTTGGCTTTTCTATGACGCCCATGAAACCAGATAGGAACCGAACCACTGAACCACCTCCTATGGCCAGTCAACCTTTGGCGCGCTGCTCAGAGGCTCCGGGGTTTGGGGATTTCCCACAAAACCCAGAGGACTCACTCAACTTCTCATGGCCTTTTAGGGCCAAGTGCCTTTTGACCGCTGCTATGGCTCGAAACAACACCGGGGACAGCCAAGTAGTTGACGATCACTCGTTCCCCTTGGCTACGCGCAGCCAAAGCGTTTTGGCCCCTCATGAATGCCCGAGTACTGATCCAGTCGACCGCTAAACGCCTTGATCTGCAGGTGTCGCTGGCAGCTTTCAGATTTTCATTGACAATATGAGACTCTTCCCCAAGAGGACATGCCAATGAGTGGACCGGTTTCAGCGAATGGCACATTGGATGGCGGTCAGTCCATACCAGCATTTCCCCCCACTCAAAAGAGGGCGGGTGGTGCTAGTCTCCATGGCACCTGCGATTGGATCCTGTGTGGATGGTTCATTTAGGGCCTCAAGAGACCACTGAAACATGCATGTACCAAAACAGGGCAGTGGGGGAACTCACTTTTAGCTTTGCCACGGAATCCAACTTTGCCTTTGGCTTCTACAAAAGGTGGCATTCTGTCTTCCCGGTTGGAATTGAGAGCTCGTCCCTGCCCGAATGGAGCTCGGACCCTCAGAGAGTAGAGTGTCTGGGAGCTTGCTCGGTTGATTGAAAGGAAGCTTCCCATGAATTCCTTCACAAGGCCACACATGGAGGTGGCCTTCAAACAAGCGCGGGGGGGTTGGGGGGGGGGGCAGCAGAGTTGGTAAACCCTAGTTGGCCTCCAGTTAAACCTCCCCTGTAACCCCAGGCAAGTTGCGAACCGCCTCCGCTTAAAACCCCCCGTAAACCCTTAGGTTGCGAACCCTTTCATGTAGCCATCGCCCCCCATCTCTTCGTAGCCCGTTGCAACGCGCCGAGCATCAGCGCTTTCTTGTGGCCCTGGCTCTTGACCTCGGCGCCGCTTTTCGCGGATGCGGGGCTTCTCAACATAGGAATCGGTCCCCTAAAATTTGTGGGGTCCCTTTGAATGGGTTTTCCCATGTGGTTTCCCCTTTTGGTGTCAAGTCCTCTTTGGTTTCCCTTTTTTGGGTTTCCCCTGCTGGTGTCCGTTTTGGTTTCCACTGTTGGTGTCCCTTTGGGTTTCCCCTTTAGTTTCCCTTTGGTCTTCCCTGCCAAATACCAACCAAAAGGCAGGCTCCGCCATTTCGAAAAACTCCCTTTCTGTTTTTCAGGGCGCCCCTTTTGGCGACTCAAAAAAAGAAGATCCCAGGGAAGGGGACTTGGGAGGCTATGTTTGGGTGGTTTCTTGGGGGACCTAAAAGGACAACCACCATGTTGGGGTGCCCTGTCGGACCCATGCCGACTCTTGGGACTGCACTCGATTCCCCTTGAAACATCGAAAAGGACCGATTCAATCGCCGCAAGGGCAGAAGTTAGGTTTGGGGATACCAAGGCGAAACAAATCCATGTTCCGCCCCTTTTGGCTCGGACCCTTGGCCTGCCACAGGAGCCAAAGCAAGAAACAAATAGCCGCCGAGAGATGTTCAAAACCACGGGCTCGAAGCGAAAACCGACCTTGTACCCCAAAAACCGAAGGCGAATCTGCCAAAGTTAGATATGCGGATGCCGGCTCCTCTGCGCCTGGACTGGAAAGGTCGACCTCTTGGAACCTTGATCAGCTAGCTGGAAACCAACAGCTATTTTTTGAGCCGATTCGCCGAATGAGTTAGACCTTGGCCCTGGCCGGGGGTGCTTCCGAGCTGCGTACCACTCGAAGGCGTCCTTGCCGCTTTCCCAGGCCGACAAGTTGATCTCCTTGGCCAGGCCCTGATCTGAGCTCGGGAAGACCATCACCACCTGGATCGATCCAGGGGGTTCCCTTTGAAGACCAGAGAAAAAAAGCTGCGACATGTTTCTATGGCATGGTTATTTCATGCTTATTTGTCATGTGTTGTTTCCGAGAAAAAAAAAAGAGAAAAAACACGACTTTGGACCAGTTGAAGCTGTGACATGCTCCTTTAGCATGGTGACTGTTGTCATGTGTGGTTTCTGAGAAAAACAGAAATCAGAAAAATCGTGTTTCTGAGAGAACAAAAGAAAGGCAACCCCCTCCCAAAAAAAACACCACTAGTTGAAGACCAAGTGAAGCTGTGACATCTTCGGTGCTTTCCATGAAATGGGGACCCCTCAGGTTTACGCACATGGGTTTCTGCCCACAAGGGCCACGGAAGACGTCTTTCGCTCAACAGGGCTCTGGTGGCTTTCCATCCAAAGGCTACCCTCAAAACAAACAAAAAACAAAGACCCGTATGCGAGCGCGTGCAACGCTTTAAGTGGTTGGGCCTGAAATGGTGGACATCAGTTTAATTCGGTGGGGAAGACTTTTGCAGCCTTCCATTTGGGTGTTTCTCAAAGCAGGAATCGGTAGTCTTAAATTGCTGAAATCCTTTTGGCTACCGTTTAAAAACCAAAAAGGGGTCCACCATTTTGAGAACCACCCATTTGTTTATGGTTTCATTTCCGGGAATCGCCACGATGGCTCATTCGCTGGTCCCTCAATGCCTGCCAGTAGCTCATATCCCTCCCCTGTCCGTCCATTTCAGAGGTTCCATGTCAGTCGTTTAATGCCTACTTTCGTCAATGAATGGCAGTTTTACTAGTGCTGATTTAGGCCCTTACCCTTCCCACTAGCATGGCACCTGGTAATGAAAGTGGGCCCTTACCCTTCCCACGAACATGGCACCTGGTCATGATCTAGGCCACGAACATGGCACCTGGCAGGTACCGTAGGGTACCTGCTGGGGCACCTGGTAGGGTACCTGCCAGGGTCACTAGCTGGAGCAACCTAGCTGCCATGGGAGAGCTGCGAGCCGAGCCGCGTTGGCGCAGAGCCCCGGCAGCTTCGGCTCGTGGAACTCGTTCCAGACGTCCACCAAGGTGTTCATGGTGTGCCTCAGGCCGATCTGGGGCTTCCGAGATCGGAGGTTTCGGAGTTCCGAACGGGCGACGTGCCCTTTTTGGGCTTCCCAGCAAGCAAGAAAAGAAAGAAATGCCCGCAAAAAAACTGGAGCCCCATGGGTCTCTGGGACCAAACCCAGCCTGGTGAATGGGGTGGGGGAAGCTCTATGGTTCTCCGAATACATCCGATGCCATGAAGTCTGGCCAAGTTGCTCCGATTCACATGAAATGAGGGTCCGCTCGTTGTAGCAGGTGAGCTCGAAAACTACTGCCCCATGGTTACTCCGCAAGTACGGTATGGGTCATGTTTGTCCCTCGCCCGCCAAAATGCGTTATGGCCATAAGCTCTGAGAGCCAACAGGGAGTATGGTCTGGAAAGTTGTCCCCTGCCTGATTAGCGGGTTCCATGCTAGAGGGAAGGGTACAAACATAGGTGTGCTCGGTAAAATAGATGGCCGTGGTAGATGATTAAACCAATGGGTCTACGAGGGCCTTGTATTTGTCAACTAAACTGAACAAGAAGGACTCCTATAGGTAGCTACAAGTGACCATGGGCCCGGTTCCAAGCACACATCCCACCAATGAAACATACTCGACAGATCATGGGCTCGCTACAAAACATGGATCTAGGGTTGCTTCAGATGCCCCATCTGTGGTGTCCCCTGCTTTAGGGGTAAGAACAAAAGGACCTCAAAGAGTGTAACAATTGGCAATTGGCGGAGCCCAGAATTGGAGCATCCAAACACATGCCTAGATCGGAAAACAAACAAAAACAATAGCAGAAAGAAACAATGGCAAGCAAAAACAAGCAAGCCAGCCAGCCAGCAAGCAAGCAAGCCAAGCCAAGCCAAGCCAAGCCAAGCCAAGCCAAGCCAAGCAACCAAAGACATAGACGTAAACAAAAAAAACAAGCCAAAGCCAAGCCAAGCCAAGCCAAGCCAAGCCAAGCCACGCCACGCCAAGCCACGCCACGCCACGCCAAGCAAACAAAAACAAAAAGCAAGCAAGCTTAGTAAGCTAACAAACAACTCGGCAAGCAAGCAGGCAAGCAAACGAACAAACCAATAAAGGCAGAGAGGCAGCAACCCTCTTGGCATCCCATGGCGTTCATGTTTCTCCCTCGATGAAAAGAAAGCGCTTCGGGCATCCAGGGCGCTGCATGTCTGGCAAACAGGACTCCACGATCTGCCCCACGTTGCACACGAAGAAGTTGGGCTGCCGGCCTTTGCCCCGCGCTTGCGGCGGCACATACTGAGCCTCAGACGTGCGCCGGGTGGGTGGGACGTCTGGAGTCCGGCCCGGCCAAATCAAAGGACGCACTCAGGGGCGGGGGAAGACGTGGACTTTTAGGCGACAATCCATCCGCCTTTCGCAAATCCCAACCTACCATGCACAGGGGCGGGGATGGTTGCCGGCCGTTTTCTGTCAGGGGCTGCTCCACGGTTTTGCATCAGAATGAGAAGGACTACTTGATCACTGCAAACAGTCCTGCAAGGTATCACAAAAAGTGGCACCCAAAACCAGCTTTTCATTTGCACTGTTCTAAGATCCCAGCTCAGTCATATTTCCACTGGCCGACCTTTCTCTTCTTCAATCTGGAGCTGCCTCTCGCCCCTTCAGCCTGAATCAGTTCTGAAAGCGGTCGAAGTTGCCCAGACCCCCCTATAGCGTGTCCACAGCAACCGGAGGTTGATCACGTCATGTTCCGAAAAATGTGGACAAAGAATGGTCAAAAGGCAAACTTGAGCGGGGTTGCCTCAAGTTGGCTGGGCCCCTTTCGTGAGAGAGGTTCTGGGTGCTTTGCAACCCCAGAAAGTTGACGCCGCATAGCAAGTGATGAACATTCGCAATAAGTCCCCCTTCCACGGGTTACAGGAGGAATCAAACACAGAACGCTTGAGTATGTGTCAAAATAGGGAACCCCCCCATACTGGGTTTTCCTTTTGGTTCCCTACTGGGTCCTCCGGAAGAGAGGTTAGAATAAGGGTACCCTTATTTCTGTAGTCTATTTTAGTAAGGGAACCCTCCCCCAAACAAGGTACAAGGGCACCACCGAAAAACCTCGCCTACAACCCCCCTGCAAAAGACACCTCCACTTCCCTGGGACCCGTCACTCGTCGGCCGCGGCGCTGCGATTCCCATCGCCACCTTCTCGCCGAAGTAGGGCACCGGGGAATCGCAGCTGTAGACCCTGGCAGTCGAGTCGCGCTCCCGTCGGACCTCTTTGCCTTCAAAAACCGCCACCTAAAAATGGCTGGGCCCATATGTTTGTGTATGTTTTTGTTTCACATGCCAAATGGATATCCCGAAGGAACCAGCAAAAAAGGAAATATAATAGGAAAACCAGCTGTTTGTGTTCTGATTATTTGGCCCATGTCCTGCCGAGATTCCTGCCCGCTGGTTTTTATGAATACCTCCGAGAGAAATCCTACACGAGGGCAACTTCTTCCAAGGCTAAAAGTCTGGGTTCCATGATGTTCCGGTCCATGCCGATCCCAAAGCGGAATCATATTCCGCTGGGGGGCCATACGTTTTTTTCTTCGCAAGGCACTCTAAGCCGACTTGTTTCATAGGTGAAACGGATAGCGCTGGAACCTGGCAAAGTGGGGACTGGGCAAGTGATGGCAGCTCTTTCTTCGGATACAAAGTTTTCCGTGCAGGGCTCATGCTTTAACAGTGGCATCCGTGGCATCCGTGGCATCCGTGGCATCCGTGGGCGCCCGGGCGCCAGACCCCGCAGCTCACAGGTTCCGCATCCTAACCTGCGGAGCTACCGCCTTTCAGTTGGTACATGACCATTGCTGGGCATGGTCTTCCCCTCGAATGTAAATAGTTTGTTGTGTCGTGGGACAACATTTTCGTGTTTAGCCAGTTTTTGGATCAATGATGAAACTACACCCGTCCTTTACCCAGCTGAAGCCAAACCAGAGCAGCTCAGAGGTTTAGCGCCATCTATTTTCAGCCCAGCAGGCCCAGGGACGCAACCATCTATGGGTTTGCAACGAACCCTCCTGCTTACATGCCCAACTCGGCGTTTTCCCGGGACCTTCGTCATCTGAGATGCCCGGTGGGAAAAAAAGGGCACTCGGCAACAAAGCTATTACCCTAAGGGTCCCGACTGTTTTTGGGCCCTCCAAATCAGTTGTCGTTCAGGGGCCCTTGAGGGGTCGGAGTTCTCCATTGGGGAGGGTCCGGGGGTCTGTATTGGAGGGGTCATGACCCTTATAGGGCCTTAGGGTAAAAGGGGGTGGGCCCTTCCCTTTTTTGCGGCCGTCGTTCAACATCACTTCGTTGCCGAGCTCCGGGGTTCCGTCTTGGGGAGCCTCAAGCCCGCCTCAAGCCCTCCGGCAGGATGGCGGTGACAAGGTGCTGCAAGTTGCAAACCTGCCGATTGAACAGCTAGGATTGTTCTCGCATGGGATGAGCCAAATCTTGAAGAAGTTTTCAATTGGGTCACGCCCACTTTGAAATTAAAATACGATCATCCAGCACATGGTTGAGTCCTTGGATTAGGGACAACGGGAACAGGCATTCATTTAAAAAATGCCCGACCTTCCTTTGGGAACATTGAATATGTTGGCTGCTATTTGGGTGTGTGTTCCAAGGGAAGCAAAAAGAAAACCCTTTCGGAAGTTTGCTTTTGCCGGCAACAAACAAGTAACTATGGCAAGCCAAAATGGAGAGAGAAAAATCAAAAGTTGATTCCCCCCCCCCACCGTGGTGTTTCTTTTCACCCACGTCCGCCCGGGTCTGGTCGACTCGTCGCTTCGCGTGGATTCCGAGGTGCCACGGAGCGCCAGAGAAGGCCCAGAGCCGCCACCCGGGCGGAGTCCCACAGCGCCTGCCGGTCGAGTCCCCGCGCTTTTACCAGCCGGGGGGGCAGTGGAGCCGTCGGAGGGGCCCAAAGGTTTTTCCAAAAAGCAACAAACAAGCAAAGACAAGGCCCAAAAGGTTTCAAAAACAAAATCTGCGGATTTGTTCCTGTGATGTTTTTTTGCTTGGACACTTCCTGTTCGCAAAAAAAGAAGAAGAAGAAAAAACGGGGACCAGGTCTGGGAATGAACCGCATCCTAAAGGAAGCCACCGGCTGGATGGTTTAGCTCAACTCGGGTCATTCCACCGCATTCCGCCCGGCAAGAAAATGTGAAAAGTACCCTCGCCGGCAAACACTCGCTGAAAAGCAGAAAGCGGTCGGAGCTGAAAGGACACCCGACTCTGAGCGCTCCGAGTCTTTGGGAAACCAAAGTGAAACCCGCTTGGGTGGCCTGGCTTCCCCCCAAACCGTTGCCAGAGGAGACCGGGGTGCATCACCCATCTTGGACTCTATGCACTGGTTGACCCTCCCCAAGAAATCTGAGGACCCGTGTAAGCCACCACGAGAACGAACACGTTTAACCATTGATTGTGCTACCAATGACTAAATCATAGTATATCATAGTATTCCCCTTCTTGAGCCTTAACCAACCTCGCCGGTTCGACCGGCCGGCAGCTGCCGGCCTGTGCGCCCACGATGTGCCAAGGGACCTTGTGGAAGACTTCCTTGGCCTGGTCCAACGTGGCGCGGTTGTGGCGCGCCAACTCCAGGAAGTGCCTGCGAAATGCGAAGAGCGAAATGCCGCGAAATGGTACCCCAAAGTGGGGCCCCTCAAACTAATAACTTGACCCAAAGGGAAATCAAGGGAATGCGTAGTTCTTTTTTGTCCCAACCCCCAATTTGCACCCATCACCGAATTGCGGAAAAGGGATGGCAGTCCATGTATGGTACGAGTACCTTCATGGTAGGAGTTTGAGCCTTCACCACCCACCCACCCCCACAAGGTAGGGATCGTGACGCATTGGCAATGCAAAATGGGTTACCTTCGGCTTCGGCATTGTTCGAAGTTTGTTGCGAGTTTTCGGTTTTGGGTGCCGTTTTTTCCTCGGGGTTGCTTGGTCTTGAGTAGTGGCTGATCATCTCCCATCCTCGGGTGATTTGGGGCCGACGGCGAGAAAGGTGCCGGAGTCTTAAGGTCGTGTGTAGCCCCTGCATGGTTCGCAATGCCAGTCTTCAATTTGCTGTCCTTCAGCTGGCCATACCGTGCGAACATGCTGAGCCTTGTTCCCTGCCGAGTGTGGGTCGGTGCATGCTGCTTTCTGTGATCTTGCGCCCGGACAACCGGTTCGCAACGTGAGAGGCCGCTGGGGCCAACGCATGGTCCATGAAATGGGCCTTCATCCTGCGCCTGTGGAAGGACACAGCCCGACGGAAGCTTGGATAAACCACCACACTATCTTGATGGTCTTTCTTGTTGATAAGTCTTGTTGGCTGCGAGCTCAACACGATTTTGCTAGATGCACACGGTTCAGACAGGGCTCACTGGATTCCCCCGTCGGAAGTTGCAGTTTCCCGGTGGATTCCCACCCAAAAAGAAACGGCCGCTTTTGGAGGTCCGAAAAAGCTTTTGGAAATCGAGGGGCCCTCGTCCAGAAACCAGCCCGTGGCCCATTCCCTCTCGAGCGAGCCGCAGCAGCCACGCCAGGCCCATCAGCCACCGGAAGTTGCCCAGGCCCTGGGGGTGTCTCTCAGGCGCTCTCTGGAACCACCGAGGCAAACTTTCTTTATGCTTCGCAACACTCGTTACGGAGGAAAGTATTTGAGGATGTCACGCAAAGGGAGTTCTTTTGGGGGGAACAAGGGAATTCTAGGAACACTTTGCCAAGTGTGGACATTGGGATAGCTTTCTAGGGTGTTGGGTGAGCTATCTGTGACAATCGCAAACCAGGAGTCCTTCAAGAAGAATGCTTGAATGTGCGTGCAGGGTCTTAAGAAGAGCAAACCCCAGAAACTCATCAACTTTCCCTTTTGGCTTCTTTGCGGCGCACGCTCCCAAAGGAGGTCCATTTGATATGGACCGCTCCGTTTTCAGGGGACGGGCCTTCCACAGGTTCTTCACGCTCAACCCCTTCAAGCGGTTTGACAGGGCCTGCCTCAAAATGCGGAACACCCTTTGGATGGCAAAGGGAAACCTGTAGGAAACCAACCGCCTCTATGGCGCCCCTAATTTTGCGAACGATTTTGATCGCTCTGGTTCCATAGGCTCATAGGCAGAGGCTGACGCGTCTCTCATCTCCACGGTTCACGCAGGTCTCTGTATGTGTTTCTGTCTTTCTGTGTTTGCGTGTTTCATGTTTTGGTAACCGGAAACCAACAGGAAAACCACCTTGTCTCCCCTTGCTTCGTTGATACAGCAGATCCATACTCATCCGAACTTTACATCAAGCGTTCCGAAAGGACTGACTTCCTGGAAAAAAAAAGCTTTCTGCTGTTCGCTTCGCTGGTTTGACGGAATAAAGCCCCCTGACCGCCTACTCCCCGAGCAACTGAGCCACGATCAAACCGACTCTTACTGCGGCGAAATGAAAACCCATGCGAAGACTCAGAAGGGCAGCGGCTTATGCGGCTCAACAAAAAGTGTTGCGATTCCTCTTCAAACTCTTCAAAATAAGGTCTTCCTGCGAAACGGCTCCCTCGTTTTGCACAATCGCCTGCTTTCCAATTGAACGTGCTGCTTCAGCATGATCCTCTTACAGACGCCCTATGGGATAGTCCGACTGCCACCTTTGGGACAAGTTCCGCCCAACAGGAAATCGCTTCCTAGGTACATTTCTGCGTAGTCTCAACAATTCCCATCCTACCCAATTCCGAAGGGCCCAACCAACACCCGAAGCAGAAGGCCTACCAAAGTCTCGTGGGAAGCGCTTTCCCTTTCTTTTTCTTGGGAGATCCTTGGGGGTACGGTGTACAAAGGCACCTCCTTTAAAGCCCTCAACCAGCAACTCAAAGGGGAAGAAATTGTCCGGGGTCTGGCCTCCCAACAAAAACCTCTGGCCGGCTGGAAGCTCGGTCAAAACCTCATTTCCCTGAATGGCTGTGGAGTGCAGGGAGACTCGGGCCGCTTAAAACCAAGACCCTTTCGGTTGACCTCCCCCTTGGAATCACACACACAACACCAAGTCATCTGGATTTTCGGGGCAAGAAGCGGGTCGTTGAAATGTGATTCTAACATATTTTGTGTGTGTGTGTGTCAAAATAGGGCGACCCCCCAAAATTAGGTTTTTCCTTGGAGTGCCCTTTGTACCAACCTGACAAGCGAACCTCAAAAAGACACACCCATAATCATAATATGCATATCAACTTGGGAAGCAAACGAGCGAGTGGGAACCCCCCCAACATATTTGCAAACGGTCTCCATGCCCGGCCCAGTCCCTAAATAGTGTCTGTCTGACATTATGTATAATACATGTGTATGTATATATAAATATATATATATATATATACAGCATATGTATGCACACATTCGCTGGTTTCATGTTGAATTATTAATGTAGTAATCTAAATCTACAAACGGCTGTATCTTTTCTATGGGACCCCCAAAATGTCTTTGGTCTTCCTTGGGGTCCCTTCAAAACCAACAAAAACGGGCGCGAGCCACCCATTTCAAATTTCTCTACCGATCGCCTGGGCCAAGCTCACGAGGCTCAGCAGGAAGGCCACGGCGCGCACTGCGAAGCGGCCCGAGCACCTCGCACGGTGGGGTGGTGGTTGGGTTGGGTGGTGTCTATGGGAGGTTTACGGGATTTGTCGTGTATTTTGATGGTGTTCTTGGGGTGGAAATGGGAGGGGGCTTGGGGGTCCGTGTGTGAAAATGCCAGCAAGTGGCAGCATGATGTGCGTGCAGGCGCTGCGCTCAACATGGTAGAGCTGGAGAAGACCCTGATTCAGCTCAACACGCAGTTTGCACTGCTCTGGACAGCGAAAGCGGTGGGCTCTGGCAACAGCCCCCCCTAAAAAACCGACACTCTAAACGAAAAGGTTGAACAATTCAGAGTCCACCATGCGACCCCCTATGATTCACTTAGGGTTTAAATTGCAACTTCCTTCTTTTAGGGTATTGGTTAGGGTTCCAGGCCGCAAAGCAGACTCGTTGAGTGTCCACGGCACCCCCCAAAAAATGGCCAAACGTGTGCAAAAAAACGACAAACATGGACAAACATGGTGAATTTTCCCAACAAAATCCCCCCCCCCCGCCTCATGGCCACATCCAGCGCGGCCCCGTGCGCCAGCAGCGATGCCATGGCCAGCGGCGCCAACAGCCAGGCCACCGGCGGTGTGGCCGCGGGCGCGCCCTGGCCACAAGTCATCGAGCTTCTTATGGGGAAACCCCCCACCTGGGTGTTCAAAAATTTCAGGGTGCTATTGTTTTGATTAGCACAGAATCCCAAAAACAGACCAAACAACATGAACATCCCATAGACCCCGATCCCGACCCCCCCCCCCCACCCCCTTTTTTTTTTTGGGGGGGGGGGCACCGTGGATGGACGAGATTCATGTTGCACCACCGTTCAGAAGCACGGGCTTCTGAGTCGATTCCCTTGCAAATGCCGCCAAACGCTATGCTTGCTTCGTAGTTGGTTGGACCGCATCTTGTAAAAAGGAAGGTGGTAATTCATAAGTATAGCGAGTACTCAGCAATGGGTACAGTGAGCAAATATTGGAGATGTCCATCCGCATTTGGGGCCTCCTTGAGGCACCTTGGTGGCAAGACCCTTCAGGCGCCATCTTAGGGAATGTCCCAGTTCAATCTTCGTCTCCAAGGGCCACCGATTTGTTGAACCGAGTCAAACACCGAACCCGCTATCAAAGAAATCTACCACACACCATGCAAGGATCTTCCCAGCCGCGCATGTGTATGATGGGAAAGTCCCCCCGGAATCTGCTTTAGTTTTGGAAACTGGCATGAGTCCCCCAAGTGGTACCCTCTTGTCAACAATCATGGAAGTGCACATGGGGCTTCCCCAAGAAGAAAGTAGTCTTCCAAACCCAATTGTCAGCTTCCATGATTGTTGGTGGGAGGGTAGCTTAACGGGAAACAACGGAACAACCCCAGAAACTCTAGCTTTGATACCAAAATCACAGACCGCCGTACTTCTAAGCCCCCCCCCTCCCCGGCCCCCCTGTCCCGGGTGTGCATTTGAAGTCTGGATGGATTCGAATAGTAAAAACGAGTAGAAGCAAACTGACACAAGTGGAATCCGGATCTGAATTCAAATCGGGGCCCTTTGGTGGATATCATGTAATTACAGGGGGGTTGTGTCATCCAAGCATCTATCATCAACCAAACTGATCTAGAAGGATACTTGCTTCTTCGTCCAAGCTTGCCAGCGGGCAAAACCCAGGTAACGAGATGTAACCGAGTTAAAAGCACCCCCCCAAGTGGAGTTGTGCCAAAGTAGAGCAAGCGCGATGGGTTCTAAAGTAGGTAGGTTGTGTCAAAATAGGGGAGCCCGCAACATGGATGGCTTCCGCTTGGCTTCCTTTCAACCAACCTGAAACGGCTTTCCTTTGGAAAAAAAAGGGGCACGTGTGTAAATGTCCTGTGATTCATGAACAAACGCCCCGATGCATTTACTTGTTTGGCCCAAGCTAGTGCGTGCTGACCTGGTTAACCCCCACTTCACTCCTGTAAACCCTTCAAAGTAACCTTACAAACCATTCCGGTGTATATTTTCTGGTCCCAATGATTTGTGCCAACCGACTCTTGAGGTTCCATTAAAGGAATAGCCATTTTCTGACACCCATCTAAAATATATCTCATCTCTCCCACCCCCTGAAAAAACTCCAAAGGCAAAGTGAAAACCCCGTTTCCTCACCCCCTCCCCCCACCCCTCCCATCCCCCACCCCTCCCCTCCCCCCCCCCTCCCTCCCCCCCACCTCCCCCCCAGCGCCTCCAGCGCCGCCAAGGCGAGCGCCGCCAGCGCGCCGTAGGGCGCCAGCAGCGCCAGGCCCGCGGCGCTCGCGCCGCCGGTGCCGCTCGCGTCGGCCAGGCGCGTGAGCAGCACGCCGTTCAGCGCGCAGAGCAGCGCCTGCGGGGGCAAACCGAAAACCAAAGCGAAAATGGGAAACCAAAGCGAAAACCAAAAGGGAAACCAAAGGCGGCTTGGTGGGCAAGAAGTGAAGAGCTAAAACCAACAAAAAGTGTTTGGCAAAAAGCCCAAAAGGTGGTGTCCCCCCAAATCAAGGTGTCCTTGCTTCCTTGGGCGAGCTCCTTTGCCAGCTTTGTTTGCGATCTGCGTTTGCCGGGGAACCTGAAGCCGCCAAGCTCCGGAGGAGTCTTTGGGGTGCGTCTTTGTGGGCTACCATGGGCCTTTTACATGGCCGTCCATCCTGACTGCTCACGGAAGGGTTGATCGAGAAGTGTGACTTCGTCAGCTTTTAATGGCTCGGAGATAGATGGCATCTGAGGGCCTCCCACTGTTAGGCTTGCGTTTGGCTTTTTGATGGCTTGAAACCGCACCTTTGTGAGCTTTAGTGGGGGGATGTGTAAAGGGGAAACATGGGTCTCAAAATAGAGGTGCCCCATGGATTCCTTCGGCATTCCGAACAAAAAGGAACAGCAACCAAAACGGGGTCCCTCAACAAAAGGCCTATCCCGTCCCCCACCACCCCCCCCCACCCTTCACCACACCCAAA